TTCCTAATGTTATATAGATAATAAAAAGAAGATTTGCATGTGCTTGCTATCTGCTTGTCTAAAGATAAGTTAGTGTCAAAGATAGTTCCAAGATTCCTGACAGAAGATGAGGGCTTGATTGAAGAATTGCCAACAGTGAGCTGTTCAATTGATTGCTTGGACAGTTGCTGTCGCGTGCCAATGATCATGAACTCTGTCTTCCCATCATTCATTTTCAATTTGCTGCATGTCATCCATCCTTGAATATCTCTGATGCAGTTCGTTATAGTATCCATAGCTTCATTTTGGCTGTCCATGTGTCCTGGCTTGAACGAGAGGTAAAGTTGGCTATCATCCGCATAAGCATGAGCTTTTACCGAGTGTTTGTTTAAAATCTTGAACAGGTCACTGGCGTAGATGATAAAGAGAAGAGGCCCTAAACAGCTTCCTTGAGGCACACCGCTTGTGATGCTGAACTTTTTAGATACACATCCGTTGATAGAGACACGTTGGCTTCGGTCAGAGAGGTACTCCTTGAACCACAATAGAGCAGGTTCTGAAATGCCCAGGTTAGATTTGAGGCGAGCTATAAGAATATCGTGGTCGATAGTATCGAACGCAGCACTCAGGTCAAGGAATACTAGCAATGTTACATTCTGGTTGTTCATATCAAGCAGGATGTCATTAAACACTTTCAGCAATGAGGTCTCCGTGCTGTGATCTTTGCGATATGCTGACTGCAATGTTGGATAAAGATTATTACTGGTCATGTGCTTATGAAGTTGTTGAAATACTGCCTTTTCAGTAAGTTTCGATACATAGACAAGGTTGCTGACAGGACGAAGGTTAGCAAAAGACGTATCAAGCTCTACTTTCTTCAGTCTTGGCTGTACAATTGCTTCTTTCCACACTACTGGGAAGCAGTTCTGCTGAAGAGACATGTTTATCATAGTGGTTATTACTGGTAAAATAGTAGGAATACAGCGTATGAGCAAATTCGTAGGCATGGGATCCAGCGTACATGACTTCTTTGGCAATGAAGAAAGCAGGCTAAGAACATCCTCTTCTGATAACAGTTCAAAGTGAGTGAATTCTCTAACTTGAGAGTCAGTGACATCTAGGCAAGGCCCTTGGTGAGTCATAGGACAAACATCAAGTTCATAACGAATTTTCGCGATCTTCTGTATGAAGAACTCTCCAAGATCGTTAGCAAGTTGGTTATTATCCTTGTTATCAGGTAAGGACAGTCGTTGTTCCTTGAAAAGAAGACGCTTAGTTGCTTGAAACAATCTACGAGGATCACTGGAGTGTTCACTTATGAATTCGGTGTAAAATTTCCGTTTACCTTCATTCATCAGAGAGTTGCAGTTGTTTTTAGCATCCTTTAACAGTTTCAGGTCTTGTGGTAATTTGGTTCTTCTCCATTTCTTTTCTGCTTTGCGCCTCGATCTTTTTGCCTGATTGATCTCCTCAGAATACCATTGGACTCGATGACGAATTATCGTGGTCTTTTCTTTCAAGGGTGCGTGAATATCCAGAATAGCAGCAAGAGTAGAATTATATAAAGTAGCAAGTTCATTGAGGTCTGTGGTAGTAGAGTTACATAGATTTGACGCAGCCATATCAGATGAAATTGCATTAATATCAACAGATTTAATCTTCCTGTATGAAATCTTTTCAATAGAGGTGTGCGGACGAGGTACATTGATGTGGTAGAGAACAGCTAAATGSTCCGAGAACAGGTGGTCAGTATTTGGAGTGTCCTTTAGCAGTGAGTCACAGCACCGGGTTATTACCAAATCAAGTGTGTGGCCATGAATATGTGTGGGCTCTTTAACATGTTGTTCAAGTCCAAATGAGTCAAGTAGGTCACAGAATTTCATTGATTCAGTATCTGATGGATCATCCACATAATACCGGGTTCCTTAC